ATTATACCGGTATTGCATGTTTTGTCTCTTAATCAAAAGACAGATATAGTGTTATAAAAATTTAAGTTCAATTTCACAAAACATAATTCCATGAAATTATAAACCAATCTCATCAGATCTGAAGAAGTTAAATTTATGGGGATTGGGGACATGGCAGTTTTAACAATCCCGCGGCCACCAAACGGAACCTCGTAAGGTTCACTATCACCCTGTTGGAGTTTGTCATGTTGCAGGTTGAATCACTCAGTGCTACTGTGTTTAGACAACAAAGACAACCTTGCCCCTGCGATAAAGTAACAGCCATACTGAACACTTAATTGAGAATATCAATAAAGGGCCACTTAAATACATGTAACAAGTACGTACATTTTCTAGTACTTTTAAATTAAAAAAAATTCATTCAAACAGGTAACATGTAAGCTTTGTTTAGCCTAATCTTTGCATAATTTAAGACACGGGTATTTTTTATTTAAGTTTGTTAACTATCACCACTTTAATTTTACTTAGCTAGCTGAATTTTAACTTTAAACTTAAAAAAAGCAGAATTGAAAAAAAAATAAACAACACAATGACTGGTAAACAAATTCATTTATCAAACCTCTATAACGTAAGAAAACTATAAATCCATTAATCTGATTGCCACGACAGTTTCATTCACCATGTTCACTAAACAAACTAATTCAGAGAATCTGCGTCTCCCACTTAGGAGAAAAAGCATGGATTGCGCAGATCTAAAAAAAAAAAAAAGAGGGGGGGGGGGGTTGGTTGGGCACGGGGCCATATGGTGGATCGAGTTATGGTATAAAATTTGATTGTAAAACGCAAAAATATTTCTTTTGATATTGACTGGAAATGAAAGTTTTACACACACTCACACAGAGATGTGAATTTATTACCTTGACCTTTGAACGTCAAAATAAATCTATAGGTGTCTTCCTTTCAGCATAGGTTGTTGTGCTAGAAAATTTCATTTCTAAAGCTCAAGGGCTTATCGAGATATTGCACGGACACAAAAGTGTTCAAACAGACATAATTTTTATTTCATTACCTTGACCATTGACATTTTTACTTCAAAATCAAGAGGGGTTTTCCATAGTAAGTTGTGTAAAATTTCACAACAAAAGCTCAAGGGCTTCTCGAAATATTTCAAGAAATTGAAAGTGTTACAGACAGAACTACAGACAGGGGCACGGAAGGACAGGCAGACCGAAATAAAATAATATCCTCCACTTCCAGCGAGGGACATTACAAACGAGAAAAGCCAGTTGTGTCTCTTCTCGAAGTATCCGTTGTATGCGCTAACAAGTCAGTTCACTAAATTGCATCGGTATCGAAATGATGTTATTAATGAAAACGAAAGTAAAATTAATAAAAACTTCTAAATCTCTATCAAACCAATGTTTATGTCGTAGATTTAAATACATAAATAAAATAACTTCAACATACTTTACAAAAGACCTTCACACATTTCACGATCAGATGCGAACCAGTTTAATTACTGCGAACGAGGTTTTAAAAACTGTGAAGTAGGATTGTACAGAAAGGTTCTAGAAATAAATAAGCATAAATGACTTTCTTATTTAAGTTGAATTTAAATTTACAGATTACCGTGATGTTAAATTTCTTTGTTTAATCTATACTGATTTTACTGAAATGAAATTAGCTAGAGTTATTTGCATCTTCCCAAAGTCAAAAGTTTCTGATCCGCTCCGCTCCACATAAACCCTTGACGGCTAAGTTTGATGGGGTTTACTGTCACGCCATCTAGTGAGATATACACATTTTGAACTCTACTGACCTCTGCTATTGGCCAATCGGAGTAAACGAATTCAACAGAGAATTCGAGATAATGTTAGGAGTTTGTAATAAATTCGATATAATTCAACTAAAAATCTGTGTCAAACCTTTAACTGGGCTATTTAATGATAATGACGTTATCCTTGAGACTAAAACTGGCTTGATTTTCTGTTTACAATTTAGTTTAAGTTCAAATAAAACAATGATTTTGATTGGTTCATGAAGACTTTCATGAGGCCAATCAGAGAACGCATTTCTAACCCCGTCAAACTTCGCCTATTCGGTCAAGGGTTTATGTGGAGCGGAGCGGATCAGAAACTCTTGACTTTGGGAAGATGGAGTTATTTGCTGCAGAACTACCTCCCAGAATTCCAAAACGCGCACTGCACCCTGTATCCAATTGAGTTATTTAACTACATGTACATGTTTATGTAAAACGTAAGTTATATAAATACTTTTCCTCTTCACCCCCCCCCCCCCTTGAAAAATTTTTAGATCCGCGCCTGAATAATAATCACCAGCTGATCACTTGAGGGTTGTTTACATTGTCATTTACCATTTCTAATCTTTTGAAAGTCACATTCATTATAAATTCTTTTAATTAAGCACTTCTTCACACGTTTATTACATGTATAATGCATGTAAGTAATTAAAAAATTGTGTATCTGCTATTGTAAGAAGTAAAACAGACTATAACATTTTCTGCAAATTGAATCATTTTCACTTCTTTTAACACTGGGGTAAAATATTCCACAACACCAAGAACAAAATAAATAATTTAGTATAATAATTTAAAAGCATTGACAAGCCCTATATATTTTTATAACACCAAAAGATTTTTATTTTTCCAACCACGTGGAGGCATGTAAACAAAGGAAGATAACCCTAAATGCACCTGATTTAAAGTTTCTCGTTTCATGTGTTTGAGGTGATAGAATTCGAGAAATGAAGACTAGTTGAATCAAATTTTATGTGCAAAAAATGTTCAAGTGAATGAAGTCAAATAAAATGAGCTTTACTTACATTAAATGCATAAATCCCAAAACACACATCTGCTTCCTGTCTAAATCTTACAGGAACTGGTGCAGATCTCGCACGGTCTCGAGGCTGGTCTCGTTAAAGGTCAAATCGACCACTCGGATGTTACACTACACTTAACAGCGATAAAGAATATAATCCGAACACATTAGTAGGGGTGCTAATATCGAGTATTATACGCGATTTCACGGATAATACCCGATTTCGAGTATTCTCTCCGACCTGATCAAGTCAATAGGCAGTGCGCTTGATAAAGTGTCTTGTATTGTGTTTGTTTGTGTGTGTGTGTGTGTGAGAGTATGAGAGAGAGAGAGAGGAATTACTATTTTTTAAATTTATTAAAATATCTCTTCAAAGAAATAAACGAGCATTCATGGTAGACAGTATCTTCTTAGATGATGTAATAAATGGCGATCTTAATCTAAATTATCTTGGGCTGCTTTTATTTAATGTTAAATTACAGGCCTGAAGCAAGCAAGGGGGGGGGGGGGTCACAACCAAAAGTTTAGATTCACTACCACAGTCTACCAAATAATTCCTTGGGAAGCCAAAATGAAAGATTTTTTTTTTATTGAGGGAGATCAAGTATACTGTAGCTAAGTTTTCTATAAAATTACATTGTTCATTTTTCGACTTCATTAGGAGGAGGCTTATCCCCAACCCCTCAACCCCGTTCCTACATAAGACCGTGTGTACATGTATATCTGTTTATATGTGTGGATTATTAAAAGAGGCTTAAAATAAGAATTTATGTAGGATGGTGCATTTTTCCTAGTAAAGTTCTTTTCTTTGTTCTGTAGTTGTGCTCCACTATGTCATTGTTTGTTAACCATGCATTATTCGTCAAAATATAAAATTAGAAGATACACTTTATACTTTTGACAACAAGAGTTATTTTAACAGAGGGTCCAATATACATATAAAAACTAGAGCCGAAATTATAACTTGCTTCATTTGTAAGGAAAAATATGTATTCACCATGCTGTTGTAAAACAAAAAAAGATAGATTCCAGAATACCGACGATAATATATACGGAGTTTTAAAAGTGTGAATAATATGAAACGTAGTTGTCACTTAGTTGTCATGGTATCCTTCAAAAGTATGTGCACACATATGCTTATCACAAGTGCTTTTAGACCAGACAACTTCCCCACCACGACCCCCAATATACATACCGGGTCCCAATATAATCATAGTTGTCTTCTTTCATAAATTAACCGTCTAGTACATATTTACGATGTATTTCATATGCAAAATCCAAAAGGTACATAGAATTCACTTTTTATTTTAAAATAATCATGCCCATAGTATCTTTAAACACCTCTGACGTTTTAACTGCAGGTATCAATGTTATAAATTGTAAATGATATTAATGAAAGAAAACCAACTAAATATTTCTGGACCCGGATTTATATAATTATATTCCAGGGGTTAGGGGAGGGGGGACATAGGTCCTATGATGGCATGCTAATATGGAACTTGCTCTCATACACATGTATCTTAAATTATGTCAAAAACACAATTCACTTAACTTCCATTTTTGCGCTGAACCCCCCCCCCCCTGAAAGTTGGCGACAGGACGTGGCTTTGAGGTATCTTGTGGGGATTTTTATCTATCGAAATCCCAATAAAATTGAAGAATTAAATAATCCAACCGTGAATAAAATAGACTACAATGACTGATCCCCGTTTTTGGTTACGTTCGTTCGTAAGATGTCGGTGCTTCTCTAATATAACGATATTGGTCATACGTTGGTACATGTACTGAGTATAAAAAATTCCAATAAAAATTGTTGACTACATGTACACACTTTTCCAACATGTACAATATCAGTCTAGTTTATTTTTTAACTCAAAACGAAGAAATGACCCTGCTTGGAACCCCCTTCGTACTTTTCCACTCTCTGAATAGTAGGCAATGTCCCGTATTTAAAAAAAAATCCTTCAACATATTGCATCTCCATCCCCCGAAAAAGAATTCTTGTTGATCGATAGTGTGTGTTGGGGAGGGGGGGGGGCATCGAAAAATAAACGACTATGATTACATTTACTGAAGAGTAATGTTTACGCCACTGGGGGAAACTTTGCATCTACTCCAGTAGGACAAACGGTTACATTACGGTTATATGTTCATCACTGACTGATGACGAAGTGTCCGTGTTATTCTGTTTTCTGTGTTCTGACTCCGGTCCTCCTGACTTCACTGACACAGAGTGGCTGGACATGCTTAATTCGATACGAGAGGATGTGTACCGTAAAAAGAATCCTGTAACACGAGAGGAAGCACAGCAGACTCTGGACAGACTGAAGTCACGTGATTTCCTCTGGGAAGATAAGGACAAGATAACGAAGGACACAAAGGATGAGACAATGCATAGGATAGCGTCAAAAAATAATTATATACCATTCATTTACAGTAGTTATAACACAGCCAGTGTGCACCTGAGATCAAATAGATACGACAGAAAACCTGGAGAGAAGTGTGTCATTGGTCCTCTTTACAGTCATTTCTTACTGATACTCCGTCTACAGATGAACATACTGACTCACGTCACCATGAAGGACACGGAGATATATAATGGGATACACCAGATATGTAAGTCAGAGTAAAATAATTGTAAATTGTTCTATTTTTTCTTCCAGAATTTTATTTGAATAATTGGATTACATTTTAAAGAGTTAAAAAGTTATCAGTAGAAACATTTATACATTAAAATTGCTTTCTTTTTTGTAGTTGCTTTGTAGTAGCTTCATCGATTACAATTTAATGCTACTAGTCGATTAACTTACAATAGAAGTAACTGACCGTGTTTAATAAATCTATAATTTGATTGTATCTCTACCTATACACATGTATATATATACATAATGGTATTACGGTGTAAATGTTAATTACAAATGGTATATTTTTTCCTACAGTAAATATCCCAGAAAATAAAGTTAAGAAGAGTAAAGATGAACGTAAAGAATTTCTAACGGAACTAAGAAGAGATGGGGAGGCTGTACATTACAGAGGAAGATCACAGGACAGTATAGATCACGTGACGTGGCTCTGGAGATACGGGTTAGACAATAGACCTGACATCGTGAGATCCTGTATAGGTCTACATCCACACAATGATATTTACATCATCGACAACAAACCTCACAGAAAACCAAGTAAGAAGTTTGATTTTTTTACAAAAAAAAATAGTTCTTTAGATATTTCTGTGAATTCGGACCTATAAATTTATATTAGCTCAGTTCATTATATTTGTTACCCACGATCTTGTATAGAAAAGTGATTAATCTGTTCAGTAATCTAAATAAATATTACTGAGTACCTAAATACACCTGTAATTTTGTGTAGACATGAATCTAAAAATAAAGGGTGTCATTTTTTCTACTTAAATAAAGGTGACGATTGGGGTTGGGGGAGATTGAAGTTCTTTCATGACCATTTTTATCTTTCAAACACTACGACTTACCATTCTTTAAACTTTAACTAAACTGCAACGTGTGTTTTGAAAGTGCATGAGTGTGTGTGTGTGTATGTGTGTGTGTGTGTGTAGGGGAGGTGTATACATACTTTTCAATGTTTATTATCTATATATGATTTCCATCCTTTGAAAAAAAGTATGGGACTGAACCCCCCCCCCCCCTCCGCTAGCCTCCCTTGTTACGACTCCAATGGTAATCTTTTTTTTAATTGGAGCCTTTTTTTTTGGTATTTTGCAAATCTTAATGTCAATTAAAGCATTAATCTATTTCTCTCCCTCGATTTCGCTTTAAGGTAGGTCTACACTCGCACAACGTCATTTACGAATAGTAAAACTGCCACTGGGCTTCCTTTTTCCGAGATGTGATTTTTTTAACTATATTTGTTTGACTTTTAGTTAGCCTTTTAAAATTCCGGTAACGATTTTGCTCCAAGTCGGTTGCGTCTACAAACATACACAAACTGATTGTTCTACAGTTTAAGGATAAAGTAATTAAAAAGAGAAGGCTGGGAACAACTTTTGGTTGACAGAAATAATTAGGTAATAACTTGCTACATCAGAGCTTGCATGATTTGTATAAAACTCTCGCGACTATTGTCGGCGGCCAAGTTGAAGCTAATAGTAATAATTTGAAAGAAAAGTAATGACTACGATTTGACTAAGACATTTATGAATTTTACTAATCAAACATTATAAAATTTACTTTGAACAATAAGTATTGTTTAAGACGCCCCCCCCCCTTCAAACTGCTTATCCACGAATTAATGCAAAGTTATAAAATTATCTTATGAATATAAGTATATGACAAAAGTCGATTCACTTGCAGCATGCTTACTTTCTGTTACAAAATTATCCAGTTTGTGAGAATCCGTCAATCACTTTCATTTTCATTGTCTCCAATTTACAGATAAGACTAGTGTGTTTTAATTTTTTAAAGTAAAATAAGATCAATTTTAGGAACAATAGGTATTGGGTGTGTATAATTATTGTTTTAAGTATGTACAACTTTGTTAGTACAAAAATACACTCAAACATTAACAGTATTACAGGAAAATGTTGCAATATTTTTTTTTGGAAGAAGGAAATTAGGGGTGGGTACCTTTAGTGTATAGCTCCTAACACGAAAAGTAATGCGTCAACATATAATTTTTTACAGCTTAATCTCTTTCTCAAATATTATTGAGTAAAAATAATGCAAATATACGAAGTTTGAGTCCATATTTTTTTTTTTTTTTTGAATGACGGAGATTGGCCTGTGAAGCATATTTTCTCATATTAAACTTTATACGTTAGTCTAAGAAAGTGCATCTATTTATAATAATTCATGCAAAACAATGATCATAATTATCTTGTTGACTAACATATTTCTACTCTCTTTAGGGTATTAAAGTCGAATATTTAGACTTTAATTCATATATACAACAAAATCTTGGATAGGTAAATTTCAGTAAATTACATTTCGGGGTATATACTCCGATAGGTAATAGCGGAAAAGTGAACATGCTGACATATGATTTTTCTTGTGTCTATCCATTGCTGGGATTTATGTCTATCTTTTAAAAGCAGATTTATTAAGATCGAGCCCATTTAGTGCCGAGTATAGAACTACCTTAAATTTTGTAAAATTAAAATTGTTTCAATATTAATCCAAATTAAAATTATTCTCTTTAACAGGATTTTCATTTGCTTTTATTTTTCTGTTGTATGTAAGTGTACATGTATTCCGCATTATTTATTGTGAAAGGTGGTGAACATGTTTCAGGTCGTATAAATTTGCTATCTGATACCGCTGACAGGAGTTATCTCCCCATAATACGTACGAGTTATGTCGCGTTACAAAGGCAATATTCATTAATTCCTTCCCTCGTTTTAAAAGTGTCACCTTTATCCTTCCATGGACCTGTGCCTTAAAACAATCGTTTCATTTTTTAGTGCAAAATATATTAGATCAACTTGGTGAAAATGTTTCAGGTCGTATAAATTTGCTATCTGGTACCGCTGACAGGGTGGCAGACAAGAGTTATCTCTCCATGATACGTACGAGTTATGTCGCGTTACAAAGACTCCAACATTGTATCCTCATTTTAAAAGTTTCACCTTTATCCTTCCATGGACCTGTTGAATGCAAGAAGAGTTGATTCTTGTTATGCCTTAAAACATTTGTTTCATTTTTTATTGCAAAAGTTAGATCAACTTAGTTTAATCAGGAAGCAATTTGTTCGATATAAAAAAAAAATCAGTTTCATCATAAAATCACAGCAAAAAAAAAAAATACGGACTTCTGACTGAAATGACTAGAGACGATGAAAATCCAGGTACTGCACTCCCAGTTAAATACTAAATCTTCTGGAATCTCAAATTTTTCACTTTGTGAATTTATTAATATTAAATAGTCTGATCTGATTTGATCAAAGTCGTCAGGTGAATGCTTAATTCCTTTTGTTGCTTTCCGTTTTGTAAAATTCATTCTTTCCAAAACTGATCGTGCCCAGGATTTTGAAAGAGATAAAGGCCCCCCAGATTCATCAAATAAATGTTTTTCTTTGTATCTTCCAATGCAACGAACGATGTTTATGTTTATAACTCCCCCCGATTCCCTCAAGTCTTGGATATAATCTTGTACATCGTTATCCAAGGAATGTCCGAACAAAGGCGGTCTTCCGGTTTTTTTCGGGGTTAAAGCAGTGGGTGGTTCTCCATCGTTACTTTTAGTTTTCATTATATACGAAGCTTTGAATCGGCGAACAGTGCTTTCATGGACATTTTTACAAAGCACAGAGGAAAAATGTTTCGCAGCTTTGGTCGCTCCATTATGTATAGCGTAGCACGCAATGTTGGCCTTTGTCTCCGGCGAAAAATGTTCATATTGTCCACGTTTCCGTTTCCTCCCCTGGGGACTGGAACAATTCATTTCTGTGTCAACTTTTTTCTGTAAGATCTTTTTTTTCTGGGGTCTTGGCGACATTTGGGTCTGGTGACCCAGGTTTGGGCCCAACTGTTTTTAGCCAGCGTAACATTCTTACTGGCGTCAAAATGAACTTCAAAAACTACGCTTTGATAATTATTTGACATAAGTTCATTAGTAGCCACGGGCTATGTCGACGATACTCGTATTCAGAAATTGGTAAAGGTGTGAGGAATGAAAGAAAGATAACTCATTTTTTTAAATTTTCATTTATTTTGCACAATTAAAAATTCGTCAAAGTTTTCTCTCGTCAATTTTTTTAAGATGAAAATATCGTCAAACTTTCGTACCGCCAATATAACCACTTTTACAGTATATAAAAGTTTGAATGGATGTAGGGATGAAACGAATAGTTCTCATCTGATCCTTATATATGTCACGGGATTTAATCCCACTGAGGGACGTGAACACGTGTTCTTAAATTAGACCGATTAAAATGGGGTCCCTTGTTGTGGAAGTTGCTGGCACGAAAATGATCCCTCACTGCTCAATGGCCCTCAGTGCCAAGGTCAAATTGAGGCTCTCCGCGGCGAAGAATGCTGTCAATGTAACAATGTTTCAGTGAAATATCCTGAAGTGAGACGTTTTAATCAATAAAGAAACTCATCATTACAGTATTTTGGACTTTTCAAGCATTATTCATCGTTAATATATAGAAATATAGAATAATTCAGTATTTTTTTTTTATTTTTAGGTAAGTTATTTTTTTTTCTTTCTGGCTGCCCTCCTTCCTTTCCAAAAGTGTGTTTTTTTGTGGACCGGATGTATGTCTTCATGTGTGTCTCTATGTGTAGGGAGGAGGGGGTTAGGGTCGTGAGGGGGATGCAGAAACATGAATCTATTGTTTTGAGTATTGCATTTTTTCATTGACCAAGACAGGAATGTTCTGTCCAAGAAGTTGATTTTTGAATTGCTTGGGCACAAAAATAGGAAATTCCTTTAGAAGCTAAAAATAAATATATGACAGTTGATGGAAATGCAATTCTGTAGACTTTTTAAGAAGGGGGGGGGGGCAGCTCCATTGAAAGCCTCTTTAAATTCAATATATGAAATGTTACAATAACTCCCCCCGTCTTTTACTGCAGTTTCTGTGAATCCTGCTAAACATGATTGTGTATTTATACTCCCCATGCAAGATCGCTTAATTGCAATGTCTTATTGATATTTTTTCCCTTTTATTTCCTCTCCATTTTTCGTACTCCTCGTTCCACCTAAAAGTATTTCCTTCAAAAAGTAAAAAAAAAACAAATTGCTAAATTGTTTGCCTACTTTTGTCATCAGATGTCTGACAAACAAGAAAATAATGTGGTGTCGCTAAAAGAATGAACTCCCTACTTCTGGACTCTAAAGCAGATGCTCCAATCACTGTGTCTCGCGGGCGACGAAAGCTAAGCGTTATTTCAATTGATACCTTTTATTAAGAATAAAACTATCATTTTTAGCTCACATGAGCCGAAGTCTCAAGTGAGCTTTTCTGATCAAAATTTGTCCGTTGTCCGTTGTCTGTCGTCGTTGTTGTCGTTGTCATTGTTGTCGTCGTAAACTTTTCACATTTTCATCTTCTTCTCAAGAACCACTGGGCCAATTTCAACCAAACTTGGTACAAAGTATCCTTGGGTGAAGGGAATTCAAGTTTGTTCTAATGAAGGGCCACGCCCTTTATCAAGGGGAGATCATCATGAATTTGTTAAAAACTAATGGCATTTTTAAAAAAATTTTCTTCTCCAGAACCGCTGGGCCAGGAAAGATGAAAGTCGTGTGGAATCATCCTCAGGTAGTGTAGATTTAAGTTTGTTCAAATGATGACCCCCGGGGCAAGGGTGGGGCAAAAATGGCCGACCCAAGTTTTACATAGGAATATATAGGAAAAATCTTTAAAAATCTTCCTCTCCAGAAGCACTGGGCCAGGAAAGATGAAACTCATGTTGAATCATCCTCAGGTAGCGTAGATTCAAGTTTGTTCAAATCATGACCCCGGGGCAAGGATGGAGCCAAAATGGCCGACCCAAGTTTTACATAGGAATATTTAGGAAAAATATTTAAAAATCTTCTTTTCCAGAACCACTGGGCCAGGAAAGATGAAACTCATGTGGAATCATCCTCAGGTAGTGTAGATTTAAGTTTGTTCAAATCATGACCCCCGGGGCTAGGAAGGGGCCAAAATGGCTGACCCAAGTTTTACATAGGGATATACATGTATAGGGAAACCTTTTAAAATCTTTTTTTCAAGTACTTCAAAGCTATGATTAGTGATATTTATATGGAATCATCCTCAGGTATAGATTCTAGTTTGTTCAAATGATGAACGCCTGAAGGGGGGGGGGGGTAAATTCAAGCCCGATGTGCTGAGGTGAGCGCTGTGGCCCCTGGGCCTCTTGTTTTGTTTTTTTTTTACAGATTTGTATTCGTATTTCAGGATTATTCCTAAATTTGTAATAAATTTCCTCATCTTTTTAATGGGGGTGGGGGGTGGTATGGTTCACATTCTAAAACATCTCTTCAATAGAAATGAATACAAACGTGTACATACATGTACAGTGTAAAAAAAAAGTTTGGAGTGCATGCCATGTAGTTAGACTGAATGTTAACAATTCATTTATTTTATTTAATTACATGTAATTTGTTTGATGATTCATAATTTATTTATTTGTTTGTCATTTCAGGTAAAATCCATAGCTATGAGCCGGAAGTCAGATGTCTACTGTATTGTTTACTTATATCTGAGAAATATCGGATTAGTTTCATTGAACAATCACACAGAATCACAAAGGACAAAATCAGACAGAGGTATTTCCCTGATATTACTGATGACGGCTCGGTAGATCTTCCTGAGGAAATCACAGAAACACGTGACGGTGTGATAACCTTTATATCAGACGACATCAGACATGACGTCATGTACGCCTTTGTTACGGAGTGTCTGGTTGAGGACAGTGATCTGGAGTTTTTCCTGACTACGGCGTCACGTGACGTGGTATATGAATACTGCAGACTCTGGGGTTATAAGAGGAGTGAGGGGGAGAGATGTCTGTATATACCGGACAAGCCGGAGAAGATGTACGACCTCTTCATAGACAGTCTACAGCTGGACATCATCACACACTGTACCGTGTCTGACATGAGGATTCGTGGCAGGATAAGTGAACGTTGTGAGTACCGTGTTACCTTTGTATTTAACAAAACGGAATATATTTATTTTCCTTTTTTTTCGAGTAAAAAAAAGATATTAACATATGTTTTGATGCTTTACTCTGATATTTTCTGAACCTTTGTACTTTAGGAACTCTCCTCAGCATTAATTTTGCAAAAGTAGTTCCTTTAATAGTTCAAATGTAACTGAGGGAAAAAATGAGTCCATACCATGTAAATACATAAAATACTTAATATTTGTAACAGTATTTATCACGTGAGTACTGGAGTAATAAAGTGAACTATTCTGTATACTTAAAAATGTCAATATTTATTCATTTCTTAATACTTAATAGGTTCTAATCCAGTTTTTTGGAGTACATGTATTAAAGAGAGATTCCCTATCAAGATATAAATATGTCCATGGAATTTTTTTGTCAAATATGATTTGCTTAGTTTCACGGAAGTTTTAAGAAAAAAAGTTTCTTAAACGTCTTGAAAGTATGCATATAGATATGTAATTTTCCTAAAAAAAAGGGGGTTAGTTAACCTTATAAAATACAAATTTAATGCCACTAGAGATCATGTATAGGATATTGGCTGGGGAGGGTGGGGGTTACATGTATACTGTCAAGAGTCATATCATCAGGTCTGTTGACTAATTTTAACATGTTTTTGTTGAAGATTTTAATACAAGTTTTTCAGATTTTAATTCAATGTCACAACATATAGATCAAACTTATACTGTCTACAGTGTAGATCATTCTAATTCTGATCTGATCTTAAACGAATGTAAAAGAGTTTGCCAGCGCTGTACATGTGTTTTCATATTATAAAATAAAATTATTGTATATAATATAACATTTTAAGATCTGAGTTGCACGTGACAGATATAATCTTATTTTATGTAAAATATTTTGAATAATATTTATCATTCAACAAATCTTGCAAATTAATGCGCGTAAATTATTGTGTGACCTTTTTGAACTAAATAATAACATATTTGGGGTATTAAAAACTTAACATGCAATAAAAATGTTTCTGATATCAAACTTTTTACAACTTTAGTGCTGATCATTCACAAAAATTGAGTAGTTCAAAATAATTAAAGAAAAAGGTGGGGTTAGTGATGTTAATTTTGAAATATTTGTCAAAATATGTGATTTTCAGGCAAAAAATGGTGTAAATTTGACCTTGACTTCTTTAATATATTTTCATTTTTTGGAAAAGTGTGTTGCGGGAAGGTGTAAATCTTAGTCTAAAAATATAAATTAAGACCTTTAACAATATCAAAACGGAAAATATTCTCCGAGTAAAAGTATGTGGGGTTAAATTTCCATTACATTAGAATTCATAAATGTGCAGATTTGCAGAATTTTCTGCTAAATATCCTTCCACCAAAAGAAATAATTCCTCATAAATCTTGCTTCTTTTTAGATTATTGAGCAGTTTTTTTCATTGCATGTTAAAAAATTTACATTATTGAATTTAAACATGTTATAAAAATTGAATTTTGATAAGTAGTTTTGAAGAAAAAGCTTCTGCGTGAACTTTTCTAAAAAGCTGACGAGTGACTTACATGTACCTTAAAGCAGAAAAAAAATTGAATTGAACTATACCTATTTTTCAATTTATCCAAGAAAGGATATGGAATAAATAAGTACAGAATTTATATGTAAAAAGTGCTATTATTGTGAAATTAAAAAGAAATAAAAATTCTAAACCGAAAAGGCATCAAGAAAGCAATGTTTGGTGGAAAGGGGGGGGGGGGCAACCATGCATACGTTTTCAGGTTGGGTACTATTTACTGCCAAAAAGTTCCGGGTATCAGACTTCAGAGTTCATCAGAAAAAAAAATCATATTATAGCTACCTTTTCTATAGTTTTCTATATTTCAGCAAAATTATTGCGAATCGGTGGGGATACCCCTCCAAATCCCATACCCCAACCCGTCTCATTGACCGGATTTCCTACATCCATGTTCAACGGAATCAAAAAAGCAGCAATGCTTTAATTTATTTTACCTTGAAAATTAAAAAAAAACATTCTGAGGAGTTTTATCATTCTTATGCCACAATTTGTCATTTAAACTAAATGGAAAATGCCTTTTTTGTTCTGATTTTTTCTTTATTATCAAACACCCCGCTTTTCAGGCGGTAGGGTATACATTAATTGGGATGTGCGTCCGTCCGTCTTTCCATCTCTTACGCTTTGGGGTAGCCAAATTTTTTTCTGAAACTCTGCTTGTAGAACTGAATTAAAACTAATGAGACTTTAAAATTTCGGATCATCTTTATTAAATAATATCAATTAGCACCTCTTTTTATATTTTTGGATTCGATACATATTTTTGGTTTCCTGTTGTAAACCATGGTGGACGCTGCCATTATACATGTAATCTTATCAATGATGTGAGGTGCGGTGGTTTCTGAATAACATGGGACACATCACCCTATTCCTCTTTACACGTTACCGTAAAACTATATACGGATTATTGGGTTCCAATAGCAAAACAGGGTCATGATGTTGTTATCATATGGGAGGCGGCGGTAAAATTTAGAGACTGTGAGCTCATTGCTCACCGTACCTCTAGTTTGATATTGTTAATTGTTTTATGATACAGTGGGAATCCCAGAAGAAATACTAAAATGGGACCTTAAAGCCAGAGAGCGGTATGTTGAGTACGCTAAGAGAGGAACACAGACAGTCCACCACGCCCGGGGGATGATTGTAGGATGTGCTGGGGCGGGGAAAACCACGCTACTTAAACGTCTGCTTGGTTGTGGTGAAGAAGAGATTAAGGAAGTAATAACTACTGAGGGACTGGAGGTGCATGAAGAGATATTCGATATATGTGATCAAACAAAATCATTAAAAGGTGAAGCTGAAAAGTTAATCATTCTGCTTATTTTATTTGGTTTGAACATATTTTATTGTTAAGATCTTACAACAAAAGGATTGGACACAAGTACTTAATACTTAGAACGTCCTCTCTTATTTTATTTGATCCTACATCATCAAGACTCATTTTAATCTCAAGTCTCTAATAATGAACACTACTCTATATATGTACACCTTTCAATTGTAATCACAATATTGTTGAAACATCATACAAAGTTGCGTTTATGGGTAGTAAATACTAACCATTATGCAGCCACGTAACATCGTTTTTGAAAGGGGGGGGGTAGCTAGAGTAAAAAAAAAAATTTTGACCCACCCGAAAAAATTGACAAGCAAAAAAAGGATTATTGGCCAAACGCGAAAAGAAGGAGGTTACAAGTCAACTTTTTCGATACGAGCTTCTTTCAGTACAAATTTTTTTGCATTAAATACTTCATTTTCCTGATATCAGTTTTCTGTGGTATAAACTGGGGGAGGAGGTTAGGGGAACAAGCTTTTTAATGAACATTTCCTATAGTAAAAGTAATAATTGGGAAAAAGTGGAGGGCAGGCCCCAGCGCCCCCCCCCCCACCCCACCCCGGCTACTACGTGCCTTTAATGAGTAGATATTGGAAAATTGCATGTGGGCAATACCTATCACCTTAAAGCAAACAATTTCGTCAATGATAAAAATATGAATCAAATAAAATAAAACTATCCTGATGGTA